TATAGCTGTGTATAGCCCTGCATAGCTGTGTATAGCCCTGTATAGCTGTGTATAGCCCTGTATAGCTGTGTATAGCTCTGTATAGCTGTGTATAGCCGTGAATAGCCCTGTATAGCTGTGTATAGCCCTGTATAGCTGTGTATAGCTGTGTATAACTCTGTATAGCCGTGAATAGCCCTGTATAGCTGTGTATAGCCCTGTATAGCTGTGTATAGCTGTGTATAACTCTGTATAGCCGTGAATAGCCCTGTATAGCTGTGTATAGCCCTGTATAGCTGTGTATAGCTGTGTATAACTCTGTATAGCCGTGAATAGCCCTGTATAGCTGTGTATAGCCCTGTATAGCTGTGTATAGCCTTGTGTAGCTGTGTATAGCCTTGTATAGCTGCGTATAGCTCTGTATAGCTGTCTATAGCCTTGTGTAGCTGTGTATAGCCCTGTATAGCTGTGTATAGCCCTCTATAGCTGTGTGTAGCCCTGTATAGCTTCGTATAGCCCTGTATAGCTCTGCATAGCCGTGTTTAGTTGTGTATAGCCCTGTACAACTAGGTATATCCGTGTATAGCTGTGTATAGCCCTGCATAGCTCTCTATAGCCATGTATAGCTGCGTGAAGCCCTGTATAGCTGCGTATAGCCCTGTATAGCTGTGTATAGCCCTGTATAGCTATGTATAGCCCTGTATAGCTACGTATAGCCCTGTATAGCTTTGTATAGCCCTGCATAGCTGAATATAGCCCTCTATAGCTCTGTGTAGCCCTGTATAGCTTTGTATAGCCCTGTATAGCTCTGCATAGCCTTTTATAGCTATGTATAGCCCTGTACAGCTAAGTATACCCGTGTATAGCTGTGTATAGCCCATTATAGCTCTGTATAGCCATGTATAGCTCTGTATAGCCCTGTGTAGCTGCGTATAGCCCTGTATAGCTGTGTATAGCCCTGTATAGCTATGTATAGCCCTGTATAGTTGCGTATAGCCCTGTATAGCTGTATATAGCCCTTTTCTAGCTGGGTATAGCCCTCTATAGCTGTGTATAGCCGTGTATAGCCGTGTATAGCCCTGTATAGGTGTACATAGCCCTATATAGCTGTGTATAGCCGTGCATAGCTGTGTTAGGTTGCATTATACTCAGGCGTTCATAAATTATACCCCTAAATATACATATGCAACATATATGGCTGCCTTCTATGAAGTATATACCACCACTGGTCTCGTTTCCAGGATCCTCTCTTAGGAGAACCTAAAACGGCTGCGTTCCCGATTTCTTTGGATTCACGTGGGCTATTGCAGCCAATAATGTAACGACAAAAGCGTCATGCGAAAGCGCGCTTTTCGATTTTGACTTTACATTCCAACGTGCACGTGGACGCCAAAGCTTGCTCTACGATCACAACTTGTGATCAATTATATGAACTTCATATATTTCATTGTATCAGATTTATTACTTTCACGGGTTTATTACGAATCAACTTAACGGCCTGCTCCCAGTTGGCTTGTTAGCTCAATTGGTTAAGCGCTGCACTAGTATGGCAGAGGTCAGTGGTTCGAATCCCATACAGGCCTGATTTTTTTTAAGGTCTGATTTTCGCTACTGCTTAGATAGCGCTATCGACTGCGAGGATCGTGCATCATACGGATTGTTGTATCTTAGGAAATTCAAGGACGAAATTATAAACAAACCCGCAATGAACATGAACATTCCAAGATCTTTTTATTCCTGTTCTTTTCTGCGCAGGCGCATCCATGTACACGTAACACAACCATGACGTAACTTAATATAATGTAACACAAGTATAACAAAACAAGGTCACGATATAACACTTCTGAGCATATTGCAAGGACTCGCTCCGTTTCGATACGCGATCACAGCTGGGACGCATCTTGCAAAATAGAATGAAAATCAGTTCCAAAGACTGATTATTCAGCTTCCACCGTTAGAAAAAAACGGGTAGCTACTTGGTGTAGGACCTCACGTCACGAAGTGGTCCGTAGAGGTACTCTAGCCGTACTTTAGCATCCATAGCCATACTTAGCCATACTTAACCATCCATGGCTATACTTAGCCGTACTTAAGTATCCCTAGCCATCCTCAGCTGTACTTAAGTATCCCTAGTCATCCTTAGCCGTACTTGCGTAACCCTAACCATCCTCAGCTGTACTTAGGCATCCCTAGCCATACTTTGCCGTACTTAAGCATCCCTAGCCATCCTTAGCCGTACTTGAGTATCCCTAACCATCCTTAGCCGTACTTAAGTATCCCTAGCCATCCTTGGCCGTACTTGAGTATCCCTAGTCATCCTTAGCCGTACTTAAGTATCCCTAGCCATCAATATCCTTGGCCGTACTTAAGTTTCCCTTGCCATCTTCAGCTGTACTTAGGCATCTCTAACCATCCTTAGCCCTACTTAAGTATCCCTAGCCATCCTCAGCTGTACTTAGCCATAGCCATACTTTGCCGTACTTAAGCATCCCTAACCATCCTTGACCGTACGTAACTATCCCTAGCCATCCTTAGCTGTCCTTAGGCATCCCTA